TATATATATATACTCTCTCTCTCTCTCTCTCTCTCTCTCTATATATATATATATATATATATATATATATACACACTAAACTGTGAAAATTTAAAACAAAACAACTAATCTCATTCACAACTACTCTTCATTTTAATCAAATTCCATATAGTCTGGCATCCGAAGTGGAGAAACAAAGATGGAAAGTTGTATGGTGTGCTAACAGGTGTGTATCTGGAGGTACAAAAATAATTGTGTTTTTAATGGAAATGTCTTAGACAAAGAAAAGCTGAAGCATGATACACTTTTCACTTCACGGTCTTGGCTCATATCCTCCCAACTTTTGGTAGACTACTCATTCAATCAATGGTATTTAATCTAGGAGTTTGCCTATCATCATCATGTGTGAGGGGGTAAAGGTGGCTAGAAAATAGCTTATAAAGAATTAGGATAGTAGCTCCAATTCATATATTGTTATAACAACCTCAATTTATGGTTGTATGAATTGGGTATTTTGTTGACCAAAAAACAAAATTGGTCTGGTATGGGTGATGGTGGATATGTACATCATATATGGAAAGAGTTATCATAATTAAAACTGGCGGGTTGACTAGGGGGAGGGAGTTGGGCTAAGGAGAGAAAGAAATGGTTCAATTAGAAACTTAACTTGGCCTTTTTGGGTGGACTGGTTACTATGGTATTTATTCATAGGAGGAGATATGCAATATAAAAGAGGAATGCAATTGGAGGATATTTTGAGGGAAAAGAGTGGTGGTTGTAGTATATGAAGGGGAAGATAGAATGGAGATTACTTTAAAGTAGTTTAAACAACTGGTTGGCTCACAAGATGAGGATTAGGGAGTAGTATGTTGCTAAAATGATGTTAGAATGTGACAATGTTAATTACAAGTCTCAATTGGTCACTTTGATGTTTAACCCATAATCTGTAAAAGGGTCAAGTTTAGTTGAAGGGAAGAAAAAGTAATGGACAAATTGATGGAGTAATGTTGATGTTTTGTACAATAAACTACAAACATTCTACTCATTCAAGTGAAACAGTAAGCCATGAAGATGCCAACAAGCCATAAAGATGCTAGAATTGTTGGTTAATTCTACAATGTCTTGATCATGTATCTCATTGTGTGGTTGTTCTATTATAACTAGTGGACTATTAGATGGTGCTAGGTTGTTATTTGTATCTAAATTATTATTCATTTTTTGGAGTCTCTGGTTACAACATAATTTGATATCAAATTCAAATTAGTTTTATCCAATTGGTGATACAATCTTCTAGATAGCTTATGTATATGGGTTTTGATATCCCTAAAACCATCATATATATTTATATATATAAATATTTGTTGGCTGATAAAAAAAAATATATCCCAACTCAAACTTGAACAAGCACAACAAATTTGAGAAGACAATGGAATTAATTATACAGATAATTTAATTTAATTTTTTTAATTCAATGTATATATATTATACTACAAAAAATGTTACATACAATTATATACAAGAAGTGTCACTATAGATATATAATATATGTTGATATATATCTATTTAATATATAATTACACATAATTTTAGTGTTAATTTTGAATGAGATTCAACAACATATTTTATGTGTCATTATAGTCTATATACTCATCCTTTTTATCAATATACCCACATATGTTATGTTTATTGTATGGATCAAAGTAGATTTTAGCGACACATATTGTATTATTATAGAATGTATATTATTATATAACAATTTTTTTATAGCCTAAGGATTTTAGCTTAGTATCTCTACTCTTTATGGTGTTAAGCTAAAATAAAATTTAAAACTAATTGTAAGCCTTGTATTACTAATATTAGATTCAACAACATATTTTATGTGTCATTATAGTCTATATACTCATCCTTTTTATCAATATACCCACATATGTTATGTTTATTGTATGGATCAAAGTAGATTTTAGCGACACATATTGTATTATTATAGAATGTATATTATTATATAACAATTTTTTTATAGCCTAAGGATTTTAGCTTAGTATCTCTACTCTTTATGGTGTTAAGCTAAAATAAAATTTAAAACTAATTGTAAGCCTTGTATTACTAATATTAGGCTTTTCTCATCTAGCATGCATGTTTTACTTGAGAATTCGAATCTTAGCCTTTCTTCATTCAAACATGTAAAGTAAAACCAACAATAAACTAAAGATTTTCATCATTTTTCATGTCACTTTGCAATATAAGAAATATTTGTTCTTGCATGGTCAATATTGGGGAGGGATCTGTTGTTACCTACCTTGTGTCCGCGAGGCAATTGGTCCAATAATTTTCCCTTCACAAAAGTCGATACACTGCATATATATAGAAAATCAGAAAATTTTCAGAAGAAGCTCACAAGTTTTTTAACCTGTTATGAATAGCTTAACTCGCGACTTAGACATTTGTTGATATCCAGTATTTTTTTATTTATCAGTGTGATATTTGGTTATTAAGTACAAGTTTCTTCTGGCTAACAAATTAATTTACGATGAAGATGTAGCACTCGTCCTTGATATTCTGAATGCTTAGATTGAAAAAGTCATCCATAAATCAAAAAGCCAAAATTTATCCTTATGATCATCACCCTATATTTTTTCGTCAGTTTTTTTTTTTTTTTTATCATTTTATTATATTCCCTGCCTGATCTTTCCTCGTGGATTACAAGAAAATACCTAGCATATAATGTCTTGGACACATGATTACATGTCTACATTTACAATATCAATCGTCATATTCAAAATAAAAAAAATATAAAAAAAAAATAAAACATTTACGATATCAAGATAGTGGCAGGCCATGAAAGGGGGATAGCCAATTGCTAAAACTAAAAGATACAAGCATGTTACCCGCTAATCCAGAAAAAGAAAATCAGACAAAAAGAAGGACTGAAATGAATAAGGATCCAAAAAATTAAATAAGGCTCAAATATCTTTACAAACTCTATAAAATTCCTGAATTTCGCTTTTATCCCTAAAATTTTTTTAATGTTTAACTTTTGAATCTTGTAAAACTTTTATTTTGCTTTTTCCCTTATAGTTACCTTTTTATTTTTTATTCATCCCTTATTAAATATTAAGTGACTAATATTTAATAAGGTTCACTTGAAACAATATTTATGAACCAATATTTATTTAACAGACACGTCATGTAAAAATATTATAAAAAAACAAAAATAAAGTTTACAAAGACAAAAATTTGAACAAACGTTTTAAAGACTTAAAATAAAAAACAAATATATTACATGGACAAAAAATATATTTAAATTATATATAAATTAATTAACTAATTGTCTACAACATATCCGTAGATGCAGTTATCGGATTAATTTCTCTATATGCCCGCTTAAAATGACGTAGTTAAACAAATAGAAAGGTTTAAGTTAAAATATCCCCTATCTTGAAATATAGGAAATTTGAGATCTAAAAATTTTTAACAGAGAAAAATGGAGAATCGATCCAAGGAAAAATAATTCCTACCCAGTTGTAAAATACATTTGGATTTCTTTTCGTAAATTCAAGAATTTTGTTTTAAAGTTATTCTCCAAAACGAAATAAGTTTTTGCAGGGATAATAATTTTTTTATTAAAGTAAATAAATTCATTTTAAAACTAATATACGAATATCGTTTACTGATAAAAAATATTCTGGGATAGATGTTCTCAAAAAATTAATAAAATCGGTACGTATAACTATTTTTTGCAGCCAAAGATAGAAAAACAACTTTTGACAATGACTTTTTTAATAATTAGCTTATTTACTAACCTCTCACAAGTTTTTACTACGAAGATTAAAATATTACATGCAGAAGTTATTAGTGGGATGATTTCTTAAATACTAATTATATGCAGAAGAAACAGCAGTAGTAACAAGAAGAAGCCAACAACACAATCAATCAAATTTCATATATTAATTAACATGTCATCCTTCTTAATCTTGTTTTATGCCTGTAAAGGTGTTCAAGGGAATTAGAATTAACCATTCAAGTTCGTTAATTAGTACTTACATGTATATATGCTTGAAGAACAGTTCCCAGTACGTAATTGGTTATCTTCACTATCGCAACACAACACATTGCCATTATCTGAAGTTATGACAAAAATAAAAATTACAAGAAAATTAAGAATAGAGAGTTGAAAATTGTAAAGACTGATTAAAGAGCCTGCAATATGAGATCGATTAGAACTTACCTTATTCACTCTCTCAGATACAATTGTATATGCATCAATATCATTCAAAGAAAATAAGAATTTCCAAATCCTCATATCACAATTGCTAAACTTATATAGCAGACAAAGTAATATATATGTAATCAGTGGTCATGTATACATGCAATGTATGAATTTGAAAACAAGTGGCAATTAGTAATTAGCGTAATTAGTAATTAGACAGGTGCATGCATAATGTGTTGTCGAACATTGAAAAGGATGAAATGTGATCGATGACGAGAGAGAGGCTGCGCGCCGGCGTGTCCAGATACATTCATGGTTCGTATGTTTAGGTCCAAAACCTGCAAAACCATGAAATTTGCAATTTCTTCTCAAAAAGACAAAAGGAAAAAAGGACCCCATTTGACACTTGTTAATAATAGCTATGGCCTATGAGATCATGAAACTAGTACCTTGCATGTATCCACATAGCTCCTAATATTGAAACTTGTGTGAATCCTATGAACCTACTAATTAATAACTATTTTTGTTTCAATTCTCTTTTAATAATAATAAATAAATAAAAGTTACAAGTTGGAGCGTTGTTATTTCCATGTAGCATACTTGTGATACCAGATACTCTACATCACTTTTTTTTAACAATCATTTTATTATTAATTAAAATTATTTTATTTTGAAATCATAAATTTGACTAGTCTTGTATTTTATTTAAAGAGTCTTCTCGTGATAAGACTTATCAAAATGTATGATTTTCAACTAAAAGTAAAGAAAATATAAATATGAGAATACTAGAGAAAGTGTCTCTAACATTTTTCATTAATTAATTAATACAAGTCAAAAAGAGAAACGAACCTTGCGCATGAGAAAATTTGGTGTTGGTTAATTTATTACTTTTGAAATCGTCATTAGCTTTTCGCTTATATGGATGTTAGCCAAATTTTAGTCCTTGAAAAAATATTATTACTTTTTTATTTGGCATCTTAAATTTAATTTTTAAATGAGCTTTTCATAAAATATTTTTTATTAATATTTATTTTTTTATCAAAATATCTTTATTGTTCTTTCATTAATGTTTTCGATGTGATTAAATTTTGTTTCTCGAAGATACTAAAAATGTTTAATAGAGAAAATGCTTATTAAATAATTGAGAGAGAAAAATAGCAGACTTTGAAATTATAAAATATCAATTGTTTTAAGAAAGAAGAAATATAGGTAAGAAGACTAATTAATCACTATAAGAAAAATGTAAATTTTCGACGGAAAATTTCTGATAGATTCGTCAAAAATTTCCAACAGAATTTTCTGTCGAAAATTTCTGACAGAAATATAAATTCATCAAAAATTTCCGACAGAAACTATCCGACGGAAAATTCTGTCAGAAATTTCTGACGTTAAATCCGTCAGAAATTTTCAAAGGAAAATTTCTGATAGAATATTCTGTCAGAAATTTCTGACGGATTTATATTTCCGTCGGAAATTTTCGACGGAATTTTAAATCCGTCGGAAATTTCTTATTTTTAATTATTATTTT